TAAGTTATTATGTTGCAGAATTCATGAGTATTGAGCAGATACAAAAAATCCTAACTATAAGTTAATTAGAGCATTCTCAAACGGTTCAATAGATCGGGAAAAAATTTTAACTAGTCACATTTTGAATTTTAACCAACCGTCCTTCAATTAACTGTAATGATTTAGTAACATCCCGATCACTTGTTAATCACAATTCAGACTATCACAACCATCCCTCTAATAAGATATTCAAAAGATAAGAAAAAACTCATCCCAAAAATATTCATTCCATTCTTATCATTATCCTAGGCAAGAGCTTGAAAAATTCTTGTAACTATTTTCTAATAGATCACCAAATATTTTTTTTAAGTATTCCTGTTAGGGCATATTAAAAGGTGAAATAAAATCGGTTAGCATACTAATCAGCTTGACATGTTGAATGGCATAATTCAAATGCCATTCAACATGTCGGAAGTTTTAAATTTTATCCGTGTAATTGATTATAAAAACCCTATTTTCCTTAAATATGCTAATAATTACTAATCGAAAGCACTACAGTATATAAAAGAAATAATATAAAAATCATGCCAATGCATCAGCGATTAATTAATTAGTTTGCATTCCATGTTTGATTCAAGGCAAAAATGCGAAACTAAATATTTTTGAATAACGAAAATATTTTTGGACATTCTAAACTATTTTAGGCACTCTAAAAAATTTTAGACATCCTAAATTATTTTAGACACTCTAAAATATTTTAGACGTCCTAAATTAATTACAATCTAGGCTATCTAAACTAATTTAACCATTTAAATTTGCGACATGAGCAAAATAATTTAGACACCCATTTATACCTCCTCTGTTGCTTGATTATCTTCAATCTTTGTCTCCGAAGTTATTTTAGGTTCAATTTCAGAATATTCTGATTGAAATATTTTGTCTAGCTTTTTGAATCGTTTATAACCAATTTGTTCCCCATTTGGGTGTCGTCAAGCGAAAACCTGCAATTTCGATCTTTGCCGGCTCCGCTTTATGATCCGATTTCTGATAAATTTAAATTAAGCACAACATATATTATATGGTGAGTTAAATCACATTTTCGGGTTTTGATCTGTAAAATTAATTTCGGAAAACTCACAATTCCTGGTTTTCGCTTGACGACACCCATTTGGAGCATACTTTTAACTTTTTCGTAGGTATATTCTTCAATAATTTCCTTGACAAGGTGCAGTATTGTATTAAATATATAAATTATATGCGCAGAATATTGATAATACGTTGATTTCATAAGGGTTTACAGTATTAGGTGGCACTAATAAAGTTCGTTTGATTGAACAAGTTGTTGGGCGTGGCGTACTTTCACGAGAGACAGATTTAGCACGGACATAACATTTTGGTCTTGCACTCTTATAATTGATATGGTCCAAAAATATTATTATTAGAATTGAAGCATACTAGATATCAGAATCTGATAAGTGCCCGAAGCGATCACGCTTGTTCTACCGTAAATTTTTGAAATAACGCTACAGAATTTACGGCAAATTGGCCAGTTATTATATTAATGCCAGCCAGATGATATGGTAATGCCGGCCAGATAATTTTATCTGGGATCATATTAAAAATCCCGCGCAACACGCGCGTGCCCATCTCTACTTCTACGTAATCATCAGAATCTGTGGGTTCAGCGTAGTAAACTTTATTTGTTTTTTTTGAGTACTATTCTGTTTGAAAGTTCTCTTTTTTGATTTCTCAATATTCGTTGCTTGTTCTGTTCATTTTGGATTGGATCTCGAATTTAGAAGTAATGATAGGTGAGGCTTTCTTAACTGCCACTAGTCCAAATAATCAGTATCAGTTCACATTAGTTGAGACTATATTAATAGATTGCTGAATGTGCTGAATGTATACTGGCTTTTGTCGGCATTCTGCTAGTATTCTGCCAATATTCAGCCAGCCAACAAGCCGACCGAATATTGACAGAACTTGCAGAATGCTGACAATTACCAGTATACATTCAGCAGCCCATTAATATAGATAGTTTCAACTAGTGTAAGTGATACTATTTTTTCATTTGGACTAGTGTGCTACTTTGTCATTTTCATTTGCTCTTATTCTCTTTCGTTCCAGAATCAAACTCCATGTTAGCATATTCTTGAAATTCTCATCGTGCTATCCGGAGACCAGCTTCCATCCTTCTGCAAATAATAAGTTTAGTATAAAGTCCAAAAGAAAAGGTCATTAAAATACATCAAAAAGTATATTAGGTCATTTACCCTGTCAATTTCTGATTCCAGTTCAATCAACTCGGTTGATGTGATTCGATCCCTTGTTCCTCAAATTTTTTGGTTTGTTGCGTTCATTGCATTATTCTACATAAAAATATTTAATAATGGTCGAGATTTAATAAAACACTTTTTTTTGAGAAGTTGGGTGGGAAGGAAGCCACAATAGGCCACGGACACTTGGCCCTCCCTCACTGATACTCGGCCCTTGACATTCCCTGTCTGAATACTCAGGCTCAGCCCAATGTTTCTATGGCCATGTACGCTCGGCACTACCCATCAATTTTACACGCAGTAAAACCTTCTCAACACAGTCTCAACACTCGGCTGCTGGATTAGCTATAGAGTACATTGACACCACCCGATAAAATATCGATTATACCTGCGATCTTTCTGCAATTCAAAGATTTTATTATAAGCAGGATGAGTACTTGTATACAGTTTCTTCAAGCATCTCAACTCGTCGGCTATGGCTGTGTGGGACTATGTTTAGTAATATATGATGAAGGCGGTTGCTTTTCGATCCAATAAGCATCCCAATCGTTTAAAATCCCGAGCCGGATAGCCAAAATTTGTATTCATTATTTTTTTTTTAACAAGTAAAAATAGGAATTAAGTATAAGGTAGCAGACTTACCTGGATATTTTAATTTTGAACGATCTACACTTGCCATACTCTATATCAAAAGCGAAAAAATTATTTAGAGATGGAACGCGTAAAAAAATTTTTTTGTTACGGTCACTGACTCTAACGAATATACCTGATTTCATCAGCTTTTTGTGTCATAAGATGGTTAAATGCCTATTTCAGAAAAATAACACATCATGCCCCGAACAGATTAACGTCCTTAAACAACTCTCAAAACTGTGAAATGTGATTTTTTGTCAATTTTAATTTTTTTAGCGAAATGCCAAAAAAGTCAATCAAACATATTACGATTTTGAAGGCGCTTTGTATAGTCTCTTGCAATAGTATAAACAGATATTTAAAAAAAACCAATAAAAAATATATATATTTACTATATATGAATGATTGATGCCGTCCAGATTATCTGATAATCACTATTCGTTTGGTCAGATTTTGATTAAAGTTAATTCATGCAAAAAATATATTAAGGTTTTTTTAACGCCATTATGATCATAAAATTTCATGCACAAATAAATTCGCTACCAAAGTTTCAATCAGAAATATTTTATATATTAAGATGTATGCAAGAGAAGTAACGTATAAAATAAAAGCTGAACTTTAAACCAACTCAGTAAGCACAACATTAAAATCTACTGCTAGACCACATCTAAGAGTATTGATACCAGATTTTGTTGTTATTCGAATCCCAATGACAAACATATGGTGCGTTAGTAGGACATGTAGGTTGACTAGTTGCATGAATTGTACTAATTCCAGGATTAGGATTAGCATGAAAGGGGTTTAGTCCAGTGGGAAGAGCTATTGCCACAAACTCAATGCCGGTCATATTTTGTCGAAGCCAACTGATTTTGTTTAATGCATAGTTACGATTACCGTTAATGTCGTAGAATACCTGAAAATATTCAATGAGTATTCAATTATTCACTAAACAATACTGCTTACTTTTTTCAAACAGAATTAATAAATTATCTCAATCCAAATATTAGGATGTGGATATGCATAGATGATAGGCATACGCCTTTGTGTTGGTCACTGAAACCCATACACCAACATCAGGTCTGAGATCTCTACTTTCGACTACACAAATAGCATTGCTATTTGTCCACCAATTTCTGGTTTGATTCTTAAGCGAAATTACGAGTTCTGTATGAATTTGTTCTTTCTCCCCACTATTATACTAAAATGATACAAAATTATTACAATTTGAATATTTTAAACCACAGTAAAACTCACTTTGATGAATAGATCGAAACCAATTCTTTCAGCATTGAAGGCATTGTGGATTTTTTCCCGTAAATTAAGGTCGCCAAGTTCTTTAACAGGAAATTTGATCTTCACAATGCCTGCGTTTTGTTCTTCAGTTCTTGCTCAATTTTATCACGAATCTTTAAAACAAAAAGACCATTAGCCAATACTATTTCGTTTTCATTAGTTTTAAGTACCATTATATACCTTATCAATTACTGTAAAAATTTGCTATAAAACTTACTATTCCATTGACACAGTATATGATTAAGGCTGAGTTAGTTTGTACTGGAATCATCGAGACTTCTATTTAGTTAAGGTTGAATTTATTTCGTAATGAAATCAATTTTAAATCGTGATTTCAATTCTTTATAAATTTTCTTCCCATCTATCAGAGTTTGTCCGTTTAACTGGTTATCTGTAAATTGGTAACTATTGCGCCATCCTTGATCATCACATCTAGTGTTCCGCACGGATCGAATCTGGCGAATATTCGGAAGTTCGAATCGAATCCAAGCTTGGATTCGAATCCGCATTATACAGATTCTGATTCAATCATATTCAAATCTAGAGATCTCTTTTTGCAGTTGCACAAAAAGTACTAGGTTTAAATTATATCAATGTATACAACGTAGGTAGCTATCCCACTAGGGTGGAGGGCACAGGGTCCATGGGCATGCCTCAGGGCATGCCTTTAAACCAAAAGGCATGCCCCTGTCACATGATAGAATATTTTTGATTGAAATACAA